TGGTAAAAGGTGGTTGGTTAGGCTGGTTCTAGCTGTGAAATTTGGTTTCCCTGCAAGATTCATTAATTCTGTAAAATGAAACCTACTGTTGCCAGTTGCATGCCTCCTATAATTTAAGAATATGTGTGGTAATCACAAATATTCTTCAACCTGCTTCATACCCTTTGGGCTGGGCGGATGTTTGCTTGCTGTGTGGATGAGCATTCTGCCCGTTCTTCAGTGTGGTGCCTGCTAACTGCTGGTGAGCTGCCTGAGGAAAGCCTGACTGGTGTAGGGTAGCCTAGTTCTGTTAGTGCCTACTCATAGTTGCAAATACTTGAACTGGTTTCAGGCTTGGGAATGTTTTTTTTAAAAAAAAATGGTCCCAAATGAGGATTGGATGCCTCTGGAGAGCTTCTCTGAGCTATTTTAAGCCCGCCCCTCACTTGCATTGGGTTTGAGCTGATAGAACCAGATGTGTTGCACACAACTGAATATGTTTTCCTCAGCCTGAGCATGAATTACAGAGACCGCAAGTGCCAAATCGTTTATTTACTTTAATGTTCGCTAAGTGTTAGGTTAAGTTGGTGAGTTTTAATTGATAACCTTGCTCCAAAGAATTTGAACAGCGATTAAGATCTCATTATGTGATAGGCTATTGGTTTTTAGCTTGACTTTTATATTATCAGTAATATCATTTTATTATTTGTACACACTATAATACTGAACAGAAGCTGTGCAATTTGGTGTTTTTGTTACCAAATTTTATATTATTTTCATATGAATTTAAAATTTTCCCTCGCCTACAATATCTATTTGCCTTTGATTCTCTGAAGTCATGGTTTGGGGTTTCCATAGCTTCTAAAGTGGGAGAATAAATAAGTGAATGACTGGGCAGCTTAACTGAAAAAAAAAAGTCATACGGCAAAAAGTCTTCCTTCTGTTAAGCACCTTTCCGTCTCTCCCAGGTATACTGTCGGGTGCGCCCGCTGAGCTTTCCTGACCAAGAGAGTTGCATCGAGGTGATCAGTAATACGACTGTTCAACTTCATACTCCTGAGGGCTTTAGACTCAACCGGAATGGAGACTATAAGGAGGTACTGCTTCCTGTTGGAGCCAAGTAATTTCTACTTGAAATGCGGTTGCTCGAACCACTTCTCGTTTTGAATGGAACACAGTTCGTGTTCTTGAAAGACCTACTTCACAATACCACGGAATCTCAAGTGCTTTTGCTTCCTGGGATGAGTAGACACATCTTTGGTATCCTGGATAGAGTTAGCGGATCACTTTTAGGGGCTGATTTCTTGTGGGTGTGAATTGCTTTTTCGGGGCTGCTCAGTATGGGATGATTTATGATTTTGCCAGGTCAGTGGTGTAGATGTAATTTTCATGCGTGAAGATGAAAGTAGCATTTAATCACACATCAACCGCCTCTGAAGCATGTTTAGTTTTAGTAAATTGAGCAAAATGAGTTCAATTCTGTCTAACAAATGTGTTGCTCTACGCTGGTAGCTAGAGGACAGAGAGGGAGACTGTTCAACATGAGCAAGGCCCAGTGCTAGTCTTTAGGGAGCGTACAGGCTTGTTGTGGGGACAGACGGCCAACGAGTCACGCTCTTTGTACGAAAGAGGAATACAGATGGAGGAGTTCGATCCAGACGTATGAATTGGAATGAACTCCATGGCAGTGGGGTATCGTCTCTGTTTTCTAACTTCCCTTCACTCCTTGGTCCCCACGACCATGAGATCACTCCTTCAAAGGCTCCCAGCGGCCTCTCTGCTGACGGTGATGTCTGCTTTATGCTGGTGATGGAGCCCTCAGCAGCGCGCCTTCCTGAAATGCTCTCCTGTCTCCTCCGTCAGCTCGGCCTGTTGTCCTCTCACTGGCCGCCCTTTGCAGGTTCCTCTTCCAGCCTCTAAATGCCTCGGTGACCTCCACCCTGGGCTCTCTCTTACACTTTTTCCTGGTAAAAAATCTGAAATGGTCTTATTTCTAGCCTACTGCTTTTCTCCATCTCTACACTTCAGTATCCAACCACTTCCTAGCCATCACTACATGATGTCACATCACTCAAACCAAACCAAACTCGCAGCCATTCAGCCGACCCTATAGGTAGGTCCCTGTGCCTTTCCGAGACTAACCCCTTATGGGGGTAGAAAGTCTCTTCTTTCTCTCAAGGGGCAGTTGGTGGCTTTCAAAACTGGCCTTATGGTATAACCACTATGCCACTTGGGCTCCTGATGTCACTTAAACAAACACACTGCTATCTAGTGGATGCCTACTCTTGGAGACCCTCTAGGACAGGATAGAACTGCTCTTGTGAGTTTCTGAGACTGTAACGCTCTACAGGAGTAGAAAGCCTCATCTTTCTCTCATCCAATGTCACATAGGTATCTTAAATTTCAAATGTCCAGAAGGGAACTCTTTTCCCCACCTAAATCACTTCTTAGAACTGACCAGTTGTGCAAACCAGATACCTCGCTCCAACCTTTCTCTTGCCTTTTATATCCAGTTCATCAGCAGGTCTTAGCAATTCTTTTCCCAAGTTTGAGGGGGCGTCAAACAGTTAGTGGAACAATTCCATTATCTGTCAGTTCCATTTTCCACAAACTGTTTGAAGCCCCCTCATATATCTTGAAACTGTCTAAACATTACTGCCCCTGCCCTGGTCTGAGCTCCCTTATTAACCACTGGCACCAGTGCTTCTCCAGCATTCTGTGTGGAAGGGGTGCAACAGCTGCTTGATGATCCGTAATAAAGCTTCTGCTGCACAGAACTTCCCAAGCTAGCTGGACAACTGAGCCTCTTTCTGTTCTGTCTTGTGAGATAGAAAGCATGGGTGTTGCAGCAATGCCACAGAGCTGCACAAGTTCTACACACTCAGGTTTCTGTCCGTCTCGTCTAGATTAATCACAAAAACCAGTCAGCACTGGTTTGCTCTCCGTACCAGGAGTGGTACTGACAAGACTTTGCTGATGCCTAGCTGGACTGCCCGCTTCCACTCCAGATCATTTCTCTAGTCCATTACCATAGAATAGCAGGGTGATCTTTGAAAACATAGGTCAAATCTCATCTTGTCCCTGTTTAAACTTTTCCAAGGAATAAGGACCTGGAGCAAGAGGGCGCCGTAATCCCCCGGGCTCTGTACCCTCCTTGTACTCAGCCAGGCTTTTGAGTTCCGTGGATGAGCCAGCATCCTGCCCCAGCGTTGTACTGGCACTAACAGCTCTGGTCTTCTCTTTCACCCATCTTAAGCATGGGTAGCACCTCATACTTAATAGTCACCTCAGAGAGACCTGTCCTGTCCGCCCTATCAGAAGTGGCTCCACTCTCTCAGTCTGCACCCAGTGTATTTCCTTCATAGCACTTGCTACATTTTATACTTATTTGTTTCCTTGTTTATTATCTCTTTCCTGTTCTAACGTAATCTCCAAAAAGCTATGTCATCTTATCTGCCCTATTTGTCAAGCAATAAATATGGTAAGTTCCTCAAAAATAAATTAATGATGGTCGGGAAGGAGCAAAGCCTTTGAGGATGTGCAGCAGTTCAAAACTGACCTACTAAATCTTCTTGGTTTGAATTTGAAGTCTAGTGGCAAGGGCTTGGAGGAAGTTAAGAATTTTTCCTTACAAGAGTATAGGGCTGTGTTGTATAATGTAAGCATCATGGGACTGGCGGTGGCTGTAACACCACTGTCTCAGTGGCCTGGGCCCATTCCCAGGAGGGGTTTGTTCACAAGGACTCAGGTCAGTTGTTCAAGCTCCTGGCACCATTCAGTGTACATCCTGTTAATTCCAAGATTCTTTGCTCTTTCGTGACCTGTAAAGCTGTCTTAGAGGATCAGAGTCAAAACTTTCGCTAAGGAGGTGAGAGTTTACCTAGCTGAAGTAGGTGTTGGCTTGGACCTAATAATGTATAGAGCGCAGAGGTTGTTTGTCAGAGTGAAATGATGGTGATACTAACATCAGGGCAGGTTGCCTTTTAAGATAGAGAGTGTTAAGTAGGGGAAAGGGCAACATTTGACAAAGTTGTAAAACATGGTTTTATGTTGCTGTGCTAAAAAACAGCATTGAAATTCGTGAAGCAAAAACTGCAAGAAATTCATGACCTCTGCAAGATAACTCCATTTTTCAACAATCCAGCAAAACAAAACAAAGCAAGAATAACAAATAGAAATAGAAGAGCCTACGTTTCCTTGGAAATTAGACATTTTAATTAAAAATATATAAAGTTGTACCTCGATCTAATTTTCCCAATTGGAGTTCAGTAATGTTTTTGGTAGTATGTTTATAGTTTACATGATCGTTGAAGTAGTCTTGCTTTCTGAGTGCTCACAATTTTGTTAAACTTTATTTTGTATAAAAATTCAGAGATAAGATTGCATCTCCATTTATTTCTGGTTTTCAAATGCAATACATCAGAACACGTGGTTTTATGCTGTTATGCCATTTAAATGATACCTTTTAAAAAACCATAAAATTGTCTGTGAAATAATGCTTGAAGATTTTCACAAATTATAATACTCTTGACTGTCTATGTCTCTTAATTAAAACAAAGTCAGCCTTGATTTATGAAGCATTAGTGGTAAAATTTCTACATTATCTATCGTTGCCACTGAAAATACTTAACAATTTAAAAATGGCACAATGCGGGTGTCTTGCAACTTTTCTGAATTACTAAGAAAACAAAGGTTCCTAGTTTCAAGGTATTCATGATTTTTTTCAGTGTGCCCAGCTCTTAAGTGCACCTAAAGAGTTTTCTCAGTACGTTGAAACCAGTGTGTTTCTCGCTGAGAAATAGTGACCTTGCGTGTGTGTGTGTGTGTGTGTGTGTGTGTGTGTGTTTACTTTCTCCTACCCAGACGCAGTATTCATTCAAACAAGTATTCGGCACCCACACAAACCAGAAGGAGCTCTTTGATGTTGTGGCGAACCCCTTGGTGGATGACCTTCTTCATGGCAAAAATGGTACGATTCTTAAACTTTTGTTGGGTTTCATTCTTTCCCCTTTCTGATAAAACTTTTTGATGGATGCCGTTGGCACGAAGTGGGGAGGTTTTCTAGGGTGGCGTTAAAGCTGGGTTTTTGAGCTGGTCCCTGTTCAGTGTTCCGTACTACAAACCGAGAACTTTGACGAGACGACTTGCTGCCTCGTAGGTCTTCTGTTCACATACGGTGTTACGGGAAGTGGAAAGACTCATACGATGACTGGTTCCCCTGGGGAAGGAGGGCTGCTTCCTCGTTGTTTGGACATGATCTTTAACAGCATAGGGATGTTTCAAGCCAAGCGATATGTGAGTACTTGCGTTGTGACTGTTTCCACGTGGGGCACAGGGAAAAGAAGCTGAGGGACACAGTGATTAAAGTGGACCCTCTGTAAACTCGGACTGTGTTTAACTGTTAGTGTGCTTCTTACTGTTTACGTTTTAAAGACTTGGTCTGATTTTTGCCCATTTCAGGTTTTTAAATCTAATGATAGGAATAGCATGGACATACAGTGTGAGGTTGACGCCTTGCTAGAGCGTCAGAAAAGAGAAGCCTTGCCCAATCTAAAGACCCCAACCAGCAAGTAAGTGCGTAGGCCCACATAGCGGGCGCAGGGTTTTGTAGACGGTTTGCTTGGGCACAGGAAATGGGGAGCAGGACGTAGAGAAGTTGATCTGACAGCTGAGAATGTTCTTCTGTGTTTGCTCAGCTTTTCTTCTTGGTTTTGAATACCACCCACCCCATCGAATCACTTGTAGAGATGGGGTAGTGCCACTCTGGGTGGGCAGAGGAGGTGAAAGACTGCTGTGTGTCTGGAAGCGTGTAGGATGCTTTTGGGGGTTGTGACTATGAATAAAATTTCTTTGTGCATTTGTAATGACAAAGCATTTATGTTATAAAATATCTTCTTCAGATCATTCGCCCTGTTTTGGATATTTTATTGTGTGTGCTTTGGGTGAAAGTTTATAGCAAATTAGTATTCTATGCTGATGTTGGTCAGAGTGCCTGGTAAGGGTAGCTGGGCACGATCTAGTTCTTCTGGTCTCAGACCAAAGTTGTGGTTCATGTTGCGAGAGGTGGGAGAGGTTATGCACTTTTGATATTGACTCATAATGTAGAATACCAGACTCTTGACTCTCTTTTCCCCCCTAGACGACAAGTAGACCTGGAGTTTGCAGATATGATAACTGTACAAGAATTTTGCAAAGCGGAAGAAGTTGATGAAGATAGTGTTTATGGTGTATTTGTCTCTTATATTGAAATATATAATAATTACATATATGATCTGTTGGAAGAGATGCCATTTGATCCCATCAAGCCAAAGTAAGTTGTGAAGAGAGCCCTTTTGAGGCGCTTAACCTTGGAGCCGTCATTTCACTTCAGTGACTGACTTTGCTTCTTCCTCTAGAAAAGGGGTAATGCTTATATTGTGTCAGAATGAAATGCTGTCATTTTTCATGTGGCAGGTACTCAACGTATCATTAATTATTAACTCTGGACTAGGGAACCAATGCGTTAAAGGCATCGATGACAAAAAGTGCCCTGAGATTCTCCTTGGGGATAACTTTTGAAAATTCTTGGCTCTGGGCTATGGTTTGAGAGGCATCTGAATTAAATCTCAAAGTGCCCTTATGAATGTGTTCTCATCTGCCTTTGAAGGGCCTGACACCAGGGTTTGGAGTTTTGTAGCCTCTTAAACCGTTTGCTTCTTGGCAGTCTCCTCTCCCATACTGGAGCCTAAAACTGACGTCCGTGGGCCTCACGCAGATGGAGACCCTCTGTGAGATGCAGTGACGTCTGCATGGTCATCCCTCTTCCTCATGCTGAGACGGAAGACATACAACCGGGCAGCCCAAACAGAACATTTGCATTTGTGCCAGAGCCGACCCTGGAGCTCACATCTAGCATAGGGACTCCTTTCCTGAGTTAGGGAGCCCTACTGGGATAGTGGTTATGCATTGGGCTGCTAACTGCCAGGTCAGCAGTTCAAAACACCTAGCCACTCCATGGGAGAAAGATGGGCTTTCGACTTATGTAGTTACAGTCTTGGAAACTCATTGGATCAGCCCTACCCTATCCTATAGGTTGCTAAGTGTCAGAATCAGCTTGGTGGCCATGAATTTCTGTTGTTGTTCCTTCCTGAGTTAAGGTTCTGTTCTAAAGTAAAAGATTTAACTTAGATCCTGCCTTCAGTAGGCTTTCTAGGACATAAGTTGACTGATGACTAACCTGTGTCTTATATTTCACCTTGTGTGCCTAACGAAGTGTCATTCGAGAAACATCTGGTTTTAGAAAAGCATTAGATCCAGAACGGATGTTGGCATATTCACTTTTATATACGTTAGATCATTTATAGGCTCTGGCTGAAGCCACACTTGCTAGAAGTATTTTTGGGTTCTCCCTGAATCACATTTGAGTGCAATTATCCTGAGTCCTTGAATTTCCATCTGTATTGATTGCCAAAAAAAAATCACAACATTGTTAGGTAAACCAAATGTAAAATTACGAGAGTGTGTGAAAACACTTTTGTGTTGTTTCTCTACCGACTCCTTCCCCCAATGGAAACCTTAGAAAAGCACTTGTCCAAGTGCCTCTTGTGTACCCTGGAAGAGGCGGTATCAGTACGTTCTTGGGCTTGGACACAGAGCGACGACCCTGGAGAGCAATGGCTCTGTGTCAGGACTGATTACTTTCCCTCTCTTGTTTCAAAATATCAGTTGTGTTGACCCTGCGGTTGTGTGTTCTCACTTTTCTGCATTTTGTGATGTCATCCATGGCTACCAACTGGGTTCATTTCTGTGCATGTGCCACGTGCTCGTTTGTTCTCCATGAAGGGGGCTTTCCTGGCTCAGTTATATGCAAAGGAAGATGGGCGCGGTGTGTCTTGTGCCTGGTAACCCTTCTGGCCACTCCCTGAATGAACGGACAAATCTGCAGCCCTGTCCCTGCTGTGCAGTGAGCGTGTTGCTGTGAGGTGGCTGCTATAGAAATAGTAATTTATACATTATTCCTTTGGTAGGTGGAACAGTTGCAGCACGCCCCTGAGGAACACAGAGTTTATGTATGTGATGGTATTGGCTCTTTCCATAGGGAGGAGGGTGTACTTACACTAGTGGTTGGCACCTGCGGTATGTCTGCCTAAAATTGGTTTTTAATTGGCAGTGGGCTGGCTGCTTCCTCAACACCCTTCCTTGCTTCCTGAAAAATCTGCCTGTGCCTTTGATGGTGGCTGGCGAATGTCCCACCTTAACCATTCACCAGACAGGCCTTTTCCACCCTCATCCTTCACGCCGACCAAAGCTTGACTAGTTCTTTATCAGGTTGCCACTCCTCGTACAAACCAAACTCTTCCAAATGCTTTTTTTTAAAACTGTGGCTGAGGATGGTCAAACCCAGCTCTATCTGCCAATCTGTTAGAGTTACAAAAATGCTAGATTTCCTTGGTTAATCTGTGCATGTGATGTTGCTATACTACTACTTCAATGTGTAGTTGTTTAGTAGGTGTTGTTTAACATGCTTTGTGAGTTAGCAAACTTTTTAAACAACCAGTCTGTTATTTTCTTATGTAACGTCTCTTTGACAGCATCCTTATAATCTTGTTAAGTTTAATGTTTCTCCTGGGGGCTCTCTTAAACTTACTTCCATGGTAAGAATGGATGCCACGCCACCTGGGACTTGAGTCCATATCTAATCAAAGGTCCTGGTATCTCGTAAAGTAAAACACTAACTTATTTTTTTTTCCTTCACACAGACCTCCGCAATCGAAATTGCTTCGCGAAGATAAGAACCACAACATGTATGTTGCAGGATGTACAGAAGTTGAAGTGAAATCTACTGAGGAGGCTTTCGAAGTGTTCTGGAGAGGTGGGAAGCAGAATTTCAAAAATGTGAAATGATAAATGTCATTCTGGGAAAGGCTACAACCATTTTGACAGCAGTCCTTTTCTAAGTAATAGGGAGTGTGTATACTACAGTGCCTGAGTTCAGGTGTGAGCACTGATTGCTCTGTCATTGCAGGCCAGAAGAAGCGGCGTATTGCTAACACCCACCTGAACCGCGAGTCCAGCCGTTCCCACAGTGTGTTCAACATTAAGCTAGTCCAGGCTCCCTTGGATGCAGACGGAGACAATGTCCTACAGGTAGTGTGTCTGTGCTCGCCTCAGAACTCGGCGTCTGGTAGTGGCGGTTTCATTGAAGTAAAGACTGCTCTCGGACAGGGTGCAGCAAACTTTTGAGATGGAAAAGCCAATCCTTTGCCTCACAACCAGTAAAAAATTAGTTGAGAGCCATAAATAGATTTTTACAAACCAATGACATCATCTGAATAATACAATATCCTTTCAACTTTTCAATTTTACTTAGGAGACACATGTGCCTAAAGAGCGCACATGGCTTATGACCACAGTTTGCCGAGCCCTGCACTAGAGCACAGGCCCCTAACCTGTGTGTCCTTATACTGCCCCTTCAGAAAAAAATGCCTGTGTGTGTGTGGAGGGGGGAGGGGGGGGCGGGGTTCCCGGGCAATTAAGGACTTTTGTACTATTCATGCCCCTAATCCAGGGCCCCCAGGGGGCGGTGTTGACCACTCTGGGAAACACTGCTAGAACGATGTATGTGTAAGTGATGGCTGTTTTGGTTCTGTTCTATAAGAGAGCTTCGTTTCAGAGCACTGGCTACTAAGTCTCAGTACCTGGCATTTTTCGATGAAAAAGGTTTACAAAGCTTCCTAAAGCTCTAATGAGGGAGATAAAATAAGCATGTGTGATTCACTGTTTTACATCTGAAGACTCATTTTGCAAGAGAAACTCAAGTCAAGGGTTTTAAACAGTCACCAGTTAACTCGCAAGGGTAGACAATCCACGAGCCAGCTGGGTCTGCACTGCTTGTCCTTTTTACTACTAGGCCAGCGTCCCACATCTATTGGTCACTGTGGGCTGCTGGGCCTTAGACAATAAAGCTTATAGCATTTGAAGCCAGATGGAAATAATGTAATTACTTTAAGCTACTAAAGTGTAATTCCATCCACATTATGTCATGAAATTGTGACCTGGTGAAGGCTCATACATGGCAGGGGAGGTGGCAGAGCACGGCAGTTACATGCAGTCATTGGAGTGAAGATTGCTGGGACTTTGATGTCTGTGAGTTTCCCAGTGAGGTGTCCTACCCCCGAGGCTGTGAGGATTAGAGGAGGAGATAGATGCATCCCACGGGTTAGTCTGGCACAGCCTTATCGGAAGCATCCGTACAAATTAGCTAGGACACGGTTTCTTAAGACGCCTCCAGACACACTTGATTTCCTTCAAATCACAACAGTATTAAAATATAAGTTACAGCCCCCAACTTTAATTTCTCATCATAAAAATCATTAAAATTAAAATTATTAGATTGATGTAAAGAGTTTAAACTTATGGTTATAGAAAATTTTTAAAATTTTAGGACATCTCTGTTCTTGATCCACTGTTTACTTAGCAAATATTTGCCGAGTTCCTGCTAAGTGCTAGGCACTTTGTTGGGTGCTGGAGAGAAAGAAAGCAGGTAAGAGTTCTTGCTGTCAGGGAGCTTATAGTCTAATGTAGAAGACCACGGAGTGCACACGTGTTAATGAAATGAGTATGTTTATCTCACTGTTAGCACGTCTCCTCAGAACATTTACCCTTTGCCTCTTTGCACTTTGTATTATGCAAATATTGTATTCTTAAGGTTCCTAACATGTTTCGCATCTGTTTAAAGTTCTAACTCATGCTGTTGGCTTTATGATCTTTCAGGAAAAAGAACAAATCATTATTAGCCAATTATCCTTGGTTGATCTTGCTGGAAGTGAAAGAACCAACCGGACAAAAGCCGAAGGGAACAGATTACGTGAAGCTGGTGAGTAAAGCATAAAACCAAAACCAAACCGTTGCCGGCAGGTTGATTTCAGCTCATAGCAACCTTACAGGACACGGCGATCCTTCCTGAGACTACAAACCCTTATGGGAGTAGACTGCCTCATCTTTTGCTGATGGGTTTGAAATGTTGGCAGCACTTCCTCGTTGAGGCCGAGGTAGTGCACAGGGCAAAGCACAGTCCTTAGGGCTGCAGCCATCAGTGTCCAGTGCCAGCTTTTTATCTGTTTATTGGTATGAAGTTCAAATATGATTTGTGTGGTCAGTACTACTTCATTGGCTGTACAACATTTTGGTAGTGATCTGTTTTAACAGTGATTTCTTTAAGAATGAGGGAAATTGACTCAATATAAAATTTGTACTGACAGAGTCTGTTAATGTTTCATGGGGGAATTATAGGTCACTATTGGGTTCTTGAAATGCAGTGACTGAGCAGTCATTCAAATATTCACAGTGGTAAGAATCCATTTCTGGAAATGGGGAGGGGGATCTTTGAACACAAAGGCAACAGTAGGAAACCTATGCAGTAGGTCATCTTTATCTTTGATTTGGTATAGCCACGTGCGTTGTACACGGTGAATAAACATTTATCGGATCCTGCTGTGTGCGGAAGTTGAACTCAGATGTCAAGGGTGGAACCCAGCCTTTGAGCGCCCACCTTGTATGAGAGACAGGCAGTGTAGCAGACTGGTCTCTCTTGAGAGTCTGATGGCAGAGCGCTCAGGCACGGAGAATAGAGTAGGGCTGTCTCTTCCGGTTGGGGGCTGGAAGAATTTGTGGGGTAGACACTAAAAATTGAGTAGCAGGGAACTTCACAAAGGGGCAGGTTGAGGGCACCGCCTTCCTCAGGAGGAAGGCACTTAGATGGAGTCCTGTGAGGATTCAGGGTCAGCCGAGATGAAGTGGAAATGCAGCTGGGCTGTGGGTGAGAACTGAGGTAGTGGAACAAGCCAGGACATGAAGGTCTTGTGTATCATCTTAAGAAGTTTGAATTTTATCTGGAGGGAATGATGATGCCTACCCATTCTTAAAGGCCTAGTGTGGTGATGGTGTGATCAGGTTGATGGTGGTCATGTACCAGGCTGCTAAACCTCAAGGTCAGCTATCTGAAACTCTCAGCTGCTCTGTGGAGAAGACAAGGCTTTCTATTCCTTCAAAGAGTTACGGTCCTGGAAACCTACACGGGGCAGTTTTACCCTGCTCCATAGTGTTGCTGTGAGCCAGAACAGACTCCATAGAGGTGCGTTTGGGTTTGGTGTGTACCAATGAGTCCGGGTGACACTGTGGGATAAGCGCTGGACTGCTAACCACAAGGTCAGCCGTTCACACCCACCAGCTGAAGGAGAAAGGAGAGGCTGCCTGCTCCCATAGAGATTTAGTCTTAGAAACCGTATGGACAGTTGCTAAAAGGTGAAACCGACTCCGTGGCAGTGGGTCAATTTTCTTTGCTGGTTTAGGGTGTATGGGAGCAGTCCTGTCTGCAGTGGGTTAAGCATTTGACTGGTAACTGAAAGGCTCCTCTGAAGGGAGGAAGATAGGGCTGTCTGCCCCATGGAGCGGTCCTCTGTCCTGTAGTCACTATGACTTGGAATCACTGAGTGTTCCTGAGTGGAGTGTGTATCAATCTACACGTTGCTTGATTTCTTGATTCTGACTTTTCAAGACTATCTTTACGAGGATCCCAGGTGGTGGAGTGGTTACACGATGGGCTGGCAATCCACGTGGTTGGCAGTGTGAGCCACCAGCAGCTCTGAGGGAGAAAGACAGTTTCAGTCTCTGAAACCCACAGGGTGGCTGTCCGTCAGCCTTGACTTGATGGCAGTTAATGTTAATGTTTGGTTTTTGGAGACAGGTCTCAGAAATTCCCCCGGGCAGTTCTGCCCTGTCGTACAGGGTCACTATGAGCCAGTACTGACTTGATGGCAGTGAGATATTTTTAAACAATTTTAAATTAGGTAAGGGTTTACATTTCAATCAACTTTGATTTCAATAGTTTAAAGTACTAATCAGAACTCTCAAGAATCATTTTCAAGATGAAGAAATCAGTTGGGTGGTCCGGATTTAAATCTAAGGGGGTTTGATTCTCAAAACCGGTATCTTTATCCTCTGTTAAATAGCTGATGAAAGACTAGTCTTTAGAAAGATCATTTTGCCAGTGTGGAACACTAGTTTACCAGGGACAAGTCTAGAGATAGGAAAGAACAGTGGGGAGCCTTTTGTGGAATTAACCTTGATGAGAAAGAAAGTTTAGCTGTATTGAGCAGAGAGTGAAAGGTTGAGGCCTTCATGCTTTCAAGGAAAAATGAAAAGGTAAGGTGGCAGACGGACATTGGGCCTCCACTCCAGTACTTCCTCAACACAAGAACACTTTGTTCTAACAATCCGGCATTCTGTGATGCTCACCTTCCTGACACGATCGCTGAAGATGAAATGGGTGCATATGTAAATGTGGCGAAGAAAGCTGAAGGTGCCTGGCTATCCAAAGATACAGCGTCTGGAGTCCTTTTTTTAAAAATCGTTTTATCAGGGGCTCATGCAACTCTTATCACAATCCATACTTACATCAATTGTGTAACACACATTTGTACATTTATTGCCCTCATCATTCCTCTCCACTTAAGCCCCTGGCATCAGGTCCTCATTTTACCCTCTCCCTCCCCGCTTCCCCCTCCCTCCCTCATGAACCCTTGATAATTTATAAATTATTATTTTGTCATATCTTGCCTTGTCCAACGTCTCCCTTCACCCACTTTTCCGTTGTTCATCCCCCAGGGAGGAGGTCACATGTAGATCCTTGTAATCGGTTCCCCCCTTTCCAACCCACCCTCCCTCTACCCTCCTAGTATCGCCACTCACACCGCTGGTCCTGAAGGGATCATCTGCCCTGGATTCCCTGTGTTTCCAGTTCCTATCTGTACTAGTGTACATGCTCTGGTCTAGCCAGACTTGCAAGGCAGAATTCGATCATGATAGTGGGGGGTGGGGGGAAGCATTTAGGAACTAGAGGAAAGTTGTATCTTTCATCGTTGCTACAGAGTGTCTGGAGTCTTAAAGGCTTGAAGAAAAACAAATGGCCATCTAGCTGAGAAGTAACAAAGCCCACATAGCAGAAGCACACCAGCCTGTGTGATCATGAGGTGTCGATGGGATGAGGTGTCAGGCATCTAAGACCCAGAACAAAATCATAACCAATGTGAATGGGGTGGTGGTGGTGGGGCATGGAGTGGTGACGCAATGCCCATGTGTAGGCAATTGGACATACCCTCACATAGGAATCACAGAGAAGAAATGAGCCAATCAGGGAGCAGTATAGCACCGATGAAACATACAACTTTCCTCTAGTTCTTTGGTGCTTCCTACCCCCACACTATCCTGACCTCAGTTCTACTTTACAAATCAGATTAGACCAGAGCACGCACACTGCTACAGCTAGAGCCCGAAACACAGGAAATCCAGACTAGATAACCCCCCAAGACCAACAAGGAGAGTAGAAATACCAGGAGGATTAGACGAGGGTGGGGGGAAAAGGGGAAATCGATCACAAGGATCAACCTATAACTGCCTGTCAGGGGGACGAACAACGGAAAAGTGGGTGAGGGGCGATGGAGGATGATATAACATGAAAATCATCTCAATCAAAAAATTATATTGTGAATGAGAGGGAGAGTGGAGTGGAGACCCAATGGGACATCCCTTCACAGAAAGGTCACAAGGAAGAGATGAGCCAGTGGGGTGCTATAGCATTTTCTATAGAAAGAAAATGTTTTGAAAATGATGATGGCAAAAAACTGTACAAATGTGCTTGACAGAGTGGATGGATGTATAGATTGTGATAAGAACTGTATGAGGCCCCAATAAAATGATTTAGAGAAAAACAAAAGAAAATAATAATCTATAACTTATCAAGGGATTGTGAAGGAGGGTGGGCAGGGGGGCGAGAGGGGGGAGAAAGGGGAGCTGATATCAGGGGCTCAAGTGGAAAGAGAATGCTTTGAAAATGA